TATATATATATATACAATACAATAAATCTTTACCAAGGTCAATTTTCTTCCTGCACTGATTTTGAGTTGAATCTTCTCCAAAGACATGAATCAGAATCCCTTCTAGCTCAGTATAACAATCTCAAAAAAAGAACTAAAAAGACTTTTTTTCTATATCTAAGTTTGTAAGACTTGGTCAGAGGGACAATTTGCAGGTATCTTTAGAAACCTCAAATTACTAGATGGGAGAAGCTGTTTGGCTTTTGGTTCAAAAATTTGATTATACATGGAGATACGGTTACAGGACAGTTTTCTAAACTCCCCGTTTAATTGCCCTGGCCTTAACTCTGAGAAAGTAGTAAGATACAGAAGTGGTTATAGATTTGGCATAAAATCGATGTTTTTTGCTATAGTTCTGTCCCTGAAGCAGGAAGATGTTTAATCAGCGCCACAAGAACACGCTGTACCTGGATTACAGGTCGGACGACGCGCTAAGGGTTTGTCCCTTTTTGTAATGAGTTCTCTAAGGAGCTCCGTGCGTCTCCGAGCTCTGAGCAAACACAAACTCACAAACACCATATGCTACAGCGCCAACATGCACAGCAGCCGACCACACACACCGAGATCAAACTGAGCTCTGTTAAAGCAGCAGATTATCAGAAACATGCTCCATTGTGGTAGATCTGAGAGCTTTTTAATCAAATTCAGAGGAGGCTCTCAACATGATGCACAAACTCGCTCTTTGTTTTTGTGCTGCGACGATATCTCATCAGTTCTGCTCTTATCGTACACTGAGCCCTCTTCACCACTCTGTAGCTTTCCGTCCCTCCGTCCGTCTATTAGTTCTGCTGAATAACAGCTTCTGATAAACCCCGACCCTCAACAGATTCTGTAGAAATGGTTTACAAACAATGATCAGGAAGGCGAAGGCTGGTCTCTGAGAAATAATCTGTTAATTAGTTAAGGACTTAATTCTAAGAAGTCAGAATTCTGCCAAAATGGCTCAGACTCTTAATAAAGACTCCTACCTGCAGAACGTACCAATGAATCGGCAAACCTGAAAAAAAAACATAATATTGGCCGAAAATATGGATCGGCCCATGTTCCATCCATCTTAATCCAAAGGTTTGGTGTTCAGAGACTTTTAGATGTGAAGCAATTGACCAAAAGGCCTCAGTCAAATGCTAAGAACCTCCACAGAGGAGACTTAAAACAAAGGTTAATCT